GGTTCTCCTCTCCCCAGTGGTATGTGGTGGAGGCTTTGTTGAAGATGAATTGGTTGAGAGATTGAGGTTTTGTTTCTGGAATCTCTATCCTGTTCCACTGGTCTATATCCCTGTTTCTTTACCAGTACCAGACTGTTTTCATAATCGGACTGAACATGAATGGACTAAATGCACCACTAAAAAGACACAGAGTGGCAAGGTGGATTAAAAATATGCTGCCTACAGAAAACACATATCACTATAAAAATTACTCAAAGTTAAAAGATGGAAAACAAATTTTCAGGTGAACACAATGCAAAAGAAGACAAGAGTCTTGATTTTAATATCAGACAAAACAACATTTAAGCTACCAAAAATTTAAAAAGATATGGAATGATACTACATAATTATAAAGATTCAATCCATCAACAAGAAATATCAATCCTAAACATATAAGCACCCAACACCGGAGAACCAGCTTTCATAAAGCAGACACTAAGAAAACTAAAAAAAAAGATATTGACTCTAATACTATCATACTGGGGGACCCAATATCCCACTAACAACCCTAGATAGATCATCGAGACAAAAAATCAACAAGGAAATCCAGAACTTGATACTCGACCAAATGGACTTAATAAATACCTACAGAATACTCCACTCCAAAATCACAGAAAATACATTCTACTCATTACCACATGAAATGTACTTCAAGATTGACCACATCCTCAGCCATAAATCAAGCATAAACAAATTTCATAAGATCGAATTCCTGTCATGCACCTTCCCAGAACACAGTAGAATAAAAATAATTATCCCCAACAAAATTCCCCCTAAATTCACAAAGACATAGATACTAAACAGCATGATGCAGAAAAACTCCTGAGTCAAAAAACAGAAATTAAAACAGAAGTCAAAAGATTCTTGGAAACAAATGAAAATGAAGACACATCTTACCAAAATCTCTGGGTTGCCAGGAAAACAGTACGAAGAGAGGAATTGATATCTCTGTGACACACACTGAGAAAATAGAAATATTACCAGTTAACAGCCTAACAATTTGCCTAAGAGAACTAGAGAAAAAGACCACTAAACCCTTAACTTTAGCAGAAGAATTCAGATAACCAAAGCAAAAGCCCAAATACAGGACATAGAAAATGAAAATATCATAGAAAAAAATCAATGAAACAAAAAACTGATTCTTTGAGAGGATAAACAAGATTGATGGACCCCCTAGCCAGATTGACCAAGAAAAACAAAGAAAAAGCTCAAATTAACATAATCAGAAATGCAAAAGATCAAGCCACAACTGACTCCAAAGAAATACAAAAGATTGTCTGAGATTACTGCGCACACCTGTGTGGAAGCAAACTTAAAAACCTAAAGGAAATGGAGAACTTTCTGACATCACACAATCTTCCAAGGTTGAAACAAGTAGGAATTGAGATACTAAATAGACCAATAACAACACAGGATATTGACTCTGTTATAAGAAAACTACCTACAAAAGAAAAAAAATCTGGACCAGACGACTTTCCAGCAGAATTCTACAAAACAGACAAGGAGAAGCTGATACCAATCCTACTGAAAGTATTCTAGGTAATCAAGAAAGGCAGAACTCTCCCCAAATCATTTTATGAAGCTAACATCACACTGATACCCAAACATGGATAAAGGTCCAACAAAGAAAGAGAACTACAGGCTAATTTTCCTGATGAATATAGATGCAAAAATTCTCACATGATTCTAGCAAATCGGATCCAGCAACACATC